AAATCTGGCATCTAATTTTCCAAAAAGGTGTGAGGAATCCTGCAAGGTGTAAAGAAACCTTGGCTGAAAACCGTGTGGTCAAGCCGACGGTGGTGAGTGCTCTCCGTGCAGGTCTTAGGCCGTTTGATCTCAGGACCTTTTCAGTCAAAATTTAAATAACATTTCGGTTTATGTGGATTATATCTATTGATATTTACCATATTTAAAAAAACAAAAATTTGTTAAATATTTAGTTAACTCTTTTAAAAATACATTTCCTGTTAATATAATTTTTAGAAAAATATCTTCCAAAACAAGCATATTTTAATAAGTGATATCATTTTAGACCTTTGCAAATCTCTTTAATATATGACTTGACAGAAGATAGAGTCATATCTGCTACTGTACCGTTCGTCACAATATCACATCATGTAGTCTGGAAAATTCTACTGTATACTCGTGACAGAATGACAGTGAAAAAAAGCAAATAACCCTTTAGTATTACTGTGAAAATAATATTACCATGAAATGGTGCCCAGAATCCCTGGGAGCCCCGGACTGCATCTTGTGAACTGCTTTGTCAGATTGACTTGAGCTCAGTGGCTGAGACTAAGTCAGATTGGGGCTGAGATTCTTGAAGGACTAGCTGAGCTCCAAGGAATGGGAAACAGACATGTTTGTCTAGAAACAGCCTTCCTTAAGATGCTACCATTGCTGCAGGGTATAGAGGTTTTGCTCCTTGGGCCTCCTGCCCCAGCACCACCCTGAAATCTCACCACCCCACACTGGGTTCACATCAAATGCTGCTAGCGAGTGTGCCAAGTGATGCATCTGAGAAGGAAAGGGAGCCTAAGTAAGTATGCATTTGCTTAAACCAAGGAGTTTATCTACCACTGTTGTTTCTCTACTTCCAAAATGTGGAAGAAAGATTGAAGCCTTTTGAAAATATTTGACAATTAGAAAAACCTTGAAGGGGATGAAAAATAAGAGCTGTGTAAGGATAAGGGAGGAGGGTGGCCTGTATTTGCCTACTGTGCTAAGATGTATGATTTAAAGTTCTGTGATACCTCTCTCCCCCCACCAAAAAAAAAAAAGTATGTCAGAACATACTTATTACACTGGGACAGTATATATTCTTATTCCAACATTATTGCATTGCTCAAAATAATTTTGGATGTCCTTCTAGAATATTTTTGAAGACTCAAAAGACGTGTATTTATTTTAAAAATACTGTCATCTACTAGACCATTTCTGCCTCCATGAGTAGACCATGAGCTCCTACAAGGTAAGGGCCATATTTGTATTTGTAATATCATCAGCACCTGCTGCTCTACTAGACACTTAGTAAATTGGTATTAAAGGACATTCCTTAAGTGACTCAATGTGAACAACCATCACTATCGAAAAGTCCACAGATTCTGTGCTCTTTATTTAGTACCTGTGTCTTAAAATGTCTCCTTTGCAACTAATCAGTACGTTATCTCAAGTAGAAACTAGGCATGCCAATCATCTTCCTAAAAATTTTAAGGTCCGACAATGATTCAGGTGTCAGCTTAGAAAGTTTAGGTTTATGTGTTTTTTCCACCTTCCAGAGATTATGGTGGGAGGCAGTGAAAGACACAGCTTGGTGTCACCTTGTCAGGGACAGTGGATTGATCTGGCTTCTCTGCGCTGCCCAGAGTGGCCTCACTACCCCATAGTCACTGGCCTGGTTAACCTTCTGCACTGGTGCTTTTATTTAGAAAGATATGCGGTTCTGGCCACTTGGGAGGGGTCAGCTAGAAGCACTTAAAGCCAAGCGAGCCCCTCTTGTGTAGCCACACAGAATGTCCTCAGACAGTGAACATTCAGCCTGACTTGTAAACATGCCTTCTGCTTTTTAAATTTTCATATTTGCATCTTGGATATTTGCAAGGATTTGTCTTGAGACTTTCAAAAATCCCTGAAGTGTCCTGTAGTTTCAGCTTCCCCACCTTCTCCCAGATCACATTTCCATTGAAACTGTGTCTTAACTATGTTTCCACCTTTCCATCCCCGGGAGCCTCTCAGGCTTTACCCAGGACGTTGGGGCTGTTACCACAACAGAGTCTTCGCCGGCTGCTCTCTTTTCTGTGCAGAGTGCGCTGTGGATTCGTTCACTTTCTTCACATCATGGATCCAGCCTTCATTCTGTTCTTAAAATCCAACCTCTTTTGCTAAGATGTCTGACTTTCCATGTGTCTCCTCTTCCATCTCAAGCACTGCACCTGGGTGGTTTTCTTTCCTTTCGTTCCACATCCCACCCCATCAAAATGCTATGTATTATCACTTTACAAGTTATTGTGCTTATAGGACTAGAGCATATTCACCATGCCAAGATGTGGAGGCTGGGGAGTGGCCGAGCCTACTAGCTAACGACCTGAACATCGCAGTTCTGGGCCTACACCTGAGTGTCAGTAAAATAACAAGACCTCATACACTGGACCTTCAGAGTTGTTCAGGTATAGTCAAAGGCACAAATGCTTGATTAGTCCATTAATGACAAAAAGTCATGTTTCCAACAATATTTTGTATGGTCGAAGGGAAAGCAGCACTATAGGAAATATTGCTGGGCCTGGTGATTATTTCTGTGTTCCTTGCACCTCTGCGCTGGCCTCTAGAGCACAGCTGAATTACATTTCACACAGCTGTCAAGCTAGAATCCAGACTGATGAAGGAAGAACAAACACAGGGACTTTTGGGAGGCATTTTACTGTGTGAGTAGACTCGTGGGCTAGGGAGCTGGCAGCAGGTGTTAGATGTAAACCTGACTGAAAGATGCATTTGCAAGGATTGTTTTGTCTGATCCCAAGAGCTAAGCAGACCTGTAAATCCTCTTACAGCTGGTTAGCACAACTTGGAATGTCCAAGGAAAGGCTACAGTAGGAGGCCAAGGAGGATGGGAACAGCTGTGCAACTTAATGGCCGCTTTAATCTCTTTGAGAGAGCTTTAAAGGGAAGGAAGGGTCCAATAACCCTCTAAGACCAGAGAGCAAATCTGAAATACCACATAGGACAGGAAAAATTAGTAACTTAAGCTCCTGTCCTTTTTCTTGGTGTCTGTGCTTTCCCTTAAGTTCGCCCTTAGAGTAATGGAGAGCCTAGAGCCGCTGGAGCTGTCTTGCTGCTGCAGCCCGGGGTGGCTGCCAGCCTGGCTGTTGTCCCAATTGAGTTCTGTGATCACTTACCCTTTCGATCCTGCCTTTGGTCTCGCTACTTCATCTCTCCCTTATTTCTTAAGGCGTTTAACTCTTCCTCTAACACTCCTATTGGTGTATGCTGTGTATTTGACACACCCACACACACCCTAGTAAAATCTCCTTTAAGCATTTTCACTGACAGATCTATATCCTTTTCACACTGTTCCCTCTGCACTTTGATAGTAACAAGCTTAGTCCTCCCATCACCTGGATTTCCTTTAAAAAAGGAAATTTGTGTACATCGTACCACAAGTAGCTAAAAAAACCTGTTCCTTCAGAGAACTGCACAAAAGCTACGTAGAGAAGAGAGGTGATCATTTTTAGTCACTTCCTTCTGTGGCATGGAGAGCCATCCTGAGCCCACATGGATGGAGTCCATTAATGCTCCTGAGGTTACTGGCTACCAGCCAGCCCAGGAGGTAGGGCTCAAATAACCACAGAGGACAACTGCTAAAAAAACCCTTCAGGGGCAACCAAAGAAACTAATGAGGATGCCCTCACGTTTCAAAGCTTCAAAAATTTCCTGGCTATAAGTTGGAAATTTTTGAGCTGGGGATGAGTACATAGAGTTTGCTTTACTAGTCTACCTTTACAAATGTTTGAAATATTCTACAACAGAAGTATTCCACTTTCTTCTATCTTTCCAACCCTCTGACATCTACCAGCTAGGAATAAGCTCCATCATACAGGAGTTAAGTTCTATCAGAACTAGAAATAGGACTCCTTACCTTCTTTTTCCTTTCACTCAAAGGGAAACTTTGAAAGCTCACATTTCCCCCTTGGCTAAAGCAGGGCTTGTTGCCCCACAGCTAAAATGTGTGGCCATGATTCAGTTCCAGCTACCAGTTTATAGCTTGCTGAAAAATATGGCCTACCCAGGGGGGAATTACCAGGCGCTGGGGCTCCTGAGCCATCAGGCACCATGACAGATGTGAAAGGAACCAAGCAAAGGTTCTCCAGATGAGAGGTGCTGGATCGGATGATACCATAACCTCACTGCCCCTCTGTGGGGTTCTGTGCCAGACTGATGTCTACATCAGACATCCCCCCGGACTCACCAGGCAGCAACTTCATGTCACCTGAGCAAGAGTTCAAGCAAACTAAAGACAAGTCCTTAGGGAGGCCAGGGATGGGAAGCAAGGGAATGGAATGAGGCAGGGAAAACGGTTACTTCTGAAAGGACTGCTTTGTAGGGATGGTTTGATGGCCTCAAAATAGAATTTCCTGTTTGCAATTTTGCCTCATGAAGTTAACTAAGAGGACAGGTCTGATAATTTCCTAGGCTGTGTGACACTTATCTGCTGTTGGCAGAGCTGACATCAGAGGCCAGGAGTTATGTCTTCAGCTTGTGCAAATTTTTCCAGCCTGCTTCACACTGTCTTCTGTAAGGTTGCTTTGTGTCTTACCGAAACCCCGGCTGTGCTTTTCTGGGGCCCTGACACATCAGGCTCCCCCTCTTCACATTGCTGATATAATGCACCTTCTTTAGATCACAGGTTTGAGCTTTCTATTCAGGATCCACAGGAGTTGGGCACTGAGCTTAGAATTCACAAACTTAAGAGCACAGAATATTTTACTAAGGAAAATTCCCTGACATCTCCCATGTTTTTGGCCTGGCTAAGTAGGAACTGAAACGCTGGTTGAGACTTCTTTTCCACACCCTGTTTTGGCCAGTGTGACTACTGCATGTTTCTTCTGTCAGGAAGGTCACTGACAGAACTAAGATTAGAATCTGTCTCTAAGACTAATGCAGTTAATCGTATAGAAACATCTTCCTCTTTAATATTACCAACCCGCTTTACTTTACCTTAGAAGGTTTCTTCTCACGGGCCTCGAGGGAATGATAAAAGGGCTAATCCCTTAAGCATTCTTAAGGCTTAAGGACAATGACCTAGCCACTGTGTTTGGCCAGCTCTTTCTTCCTCTGGCACAGTATTCCAGAGTTGTAGTCTTTCATCCCAGGCTCGTTACTTCCTTGATATCAAAGTGGAGGAGTTGTTAGGCCATGAAATTTCATTGTGAATAAGCAAAGATTTGGCAGGATGTTCATTACAGAAGAGTATACTTAAGAAACACAGTAGGCCCTATTCTGAGCCCTGAGGAAAGCATCATTACTTGAAAAGAGCTTTCAGGTATAAAAGCAGGAAAACTGCTTTTATCTATGGTGCGTATTCGCGGTGACATACCCAGGGAGATACTGGCACTGTCTGTGCATGAGTCCAGGGCCTGAATCTGAACTTGTGACATATCCTTATCTGATAACAGCACCAAAAAGATCCTGAGTTGCATCCATGGGTTCCGTCGCTCGTTCCCCGTATCTTATTATTGTTGTGTCTATAGACTTTCTGATGATACATGTACACAGGATCCAGAATAGTATTGAGGGAAGGGGTCTCGTGTAGCCCTTCCAGATGATAAGCATATGGCCTGTTTACCTTCCTTGCTTCTGTCTAGTTCCCTTATCATTTAGTGGGAAACTTGAGGAAAGATATTAACAGAGCCAGATCCCAGTGGCCTCCTTTTTACACTCATTCAGATAAACCGAAATGGGAGAATGTTTGAGATTAGACTCCACGCATACTCTGGAATAACAGGCAGCCTTCTAAAGGAAATGGAAAAAAAAAGTACACTGACCTGAGTTTCAGGGTCAGTCCTGAAATTTTTCAGCTGTCTGGTAAGGTTTTTTTCCTGATGGAGTGTTTCTGGTCAAACACTTGACCTCACTTTCACATTGAACATGCTGGGCTTTTATAGAAGTGACCATTTATCCACAAGGGCAAGACTCCTTAAAACAAAAACGAAAAACCCAAACCTACCAGTAGATGTTTAATTACATCCAACTCTAAGGGTTGGTTATTTTCCCATCAGAAAACAGTACTGTTTGTGCACAAGGTCCTAATGATTCAACCTAACGCCTAAAAAGAAAGCGAAGTTTTTAAATAACTAAATTTTTAAAAAATGAAGACTTTATTGAATAAATGTTATACAACATTCTTTAACATTTATGTCTCAGCATACTTTAGATGAGAAACAATTTTTGTCATTCAAGTCTACAAATGAAATAGGCTTCTGAGGATTTGAAATACAGACAAAGGTAGCATGAAGCAAAGCTTAAATATTAAGCAACTAAAGCAATGAAAGTGAAAGAGCCACGTGGTATGTCTAGATTTTAAATACCAAGTTTCATTTTTTTAAAATGCAAATCTGGTTTTTAACAAAACACCCTTGAAAATTTGTCATGAGAAAAAAATAGATAAAACCTGATCTCGCTCTCAATTTTTTTGCCTCTATATTACTTCCAAACTTTAATTAAAAATCTTGATTATACAATCCACCACAGCTTGGGGGTTATGTGGTCCTTGAAGTGAGCCTGAAAGGTACTGCTGGTGTGAGAAAGATGAAGAACAGGACGGACCCAGCCTGAGCCCCAGCGCTGCAGAGAGCAGGGCACCAATGGGGTGCATGTAACCTTTAGAGCTCTCTGCTGCTACAGTTCCTGAGCTGACTTGCAGATCTGATCACATGTGCAATGACTTCATGATACTTTTCCAAAAAGTATCTAAAACTCTCACCCAGAACCTTTTGTTAATCGTGAGGGTGAGATTATTAAGTCATTCCAAACCTACACAGTAAGATTATGGAAAAGTTTAAACACTTGAACCAAATGCTCAGCTGTTATGGTGCTTCAAATGAATTTTGTTTTTTGGCATTTTTTTCCTTTTTTGTATTAATTGATATGGATTATCTTTCTGGTTTAAAAAATACATCAGTATTGTCACTAAAAAACTTCAGTTTTGTTATTAAAAGTATGGCACCATCAAATATAAAATGCCTTAAAAATGTACTTAACAGGTCAATCTGGTTTTCTCATTGTTTTCTCCACTCATTTAAAAAAAATTAAGGTTATTTTAATATGTATTTTCTAAAGATAAGAATAACATGGTCTCCATTACTAAGAATTCATGCTCCATGCATGAAAAGTTCGACACCATGTTTATGGGTCTGTTCCTGCTGCTTGTTCCCCAGGGTCAAGTCCCACCTGACAGCTGTGAGAATTTCTTGCACTTACACAAAAAGAGAGACTCTCTGTGAAGAGAGGTCCACATCAAAATTCAGATACTGTCACCTTTTGTGAACTAGCTAAAATCAGTAAGGATAGGAATAAAAGCCTTTCCAGTTCAGAAGAATGAAGAACTGGCTCTTAGAGTTTAAATGTTCACTCCAAGATCAACACTAGCCTATCCACTTTGAGTCAGAATTTGAAAGATAAGAATGTAGTTATGAAAATGTGCATAAAATGTTAAATACTGGTGTCAAATAAATACATCTTAACATGTTCTAACAAGCAAATGTATATTCAAGATAATACAGCCCTGCTTTATTAAAGAAAGAAAAGATCCACTTTTTCAGCACACCCGGGGTACCTTGCCATCCTCTAAGTACGAGGTTCAATCCTTCCTGTCGTCTCCACTGGCAGCCTGAAGGAAACGTTCACCTCAGCGTATATGACTACTGCAGTTTCACTGGAGAGCCATTTTAGAAATACTTTTACTCATATCTGATCTGAGTAACAAACCTTGGAGAAAGCACAGAGTTTTAGTATGAAAAATAATTCAACATTTCTGCCATCATTCCATGCCTTTTAGGCCTGTCCAAATTACTGATAAGAACTTCATGATCAAAAGAAATTACTGTCTGATTCTTCATAAAATTCAAGTGATTTCTTTGTATGCATATTTCACATCACTTTTCTCCTCGTGCATAATTTATTGCAACAGTTTATATTTTAGAAAATATTCCCCTAATGCCTTTTCTTGGTTTAATAGAGCACAGTTTGCAAGTGCGCCTTTAGAGACTGTTGGTTTTAACCACTGCTTTAACGTTATGACTTCTTACTGCAGCTTTAAAAATCTGAGTCTCCAATTTCATTCAGTCCTGACGCTCTGGTGTTCTGTCATTGTGGTACATACGGGTCCATGAAACCAGCAGCCTGCTAGTGTCTTTGTGCTGAAATATAGTAAAGAAAAGGAAAAACTGTAGTTAAACACAAGTAATTATATGAGAAAAGAGATGTCCTTGTTGTGTAAATTAAACCCTATATAGACTCTGGGATCACACCTGATTTCTTCTTTTAGCTCAATTAAATTTTTTTTTTTTTTTGAGAAAACAATTTGTTACCACTCTGAAACCAGCAGAAGCATTCGTGTTATTTCTGAAGTGTATCTGAACAAATTCCAATACAAATAAAATGGTTGTCATCTTTACATAATCTGCACTTGAGTATATTTTTTTAAACTTATTCATGAATATTTGCCTAATAAAAGGGAATTTTAGCTTTGTTCTTTATATTACCATTTCACAAGTAACAATATTAAACTTTCTGAGTCAGCTTAGCTGCTGTGGACTGCTATGAAGCACCAGCAACCTTCCTCTAGCACAGGCTACCTACAGGCTTAAAAAGCAAATTTATATACAGTACCTGGCTATGTAAAAATCAGTTGCAGATCACACTGTCTACATATGTGCAGGAAGCAAAAAAGAGGGTGGAGGGTGCCTCCGCAGAGGGAGACACAGCGCATCAGAAGGCGTCAGGAGCACCATTTTGCTGCCGAAAGAGCATTTATGTACACTGGTTAGACTGACCACAGTCTCCCTGTGACGTCAGCACACCTGAGCACCAGCAGAGGCACTTTGCACCAGACCTCCAACGAGCAGCAGGACTGAGCAGAACACTTACAGGCTTATGAAAATTACTGCCAAGTAGCATGACCAGAATGCCTAGCATTACCGACCTCCCTTTAATACCAACAAGTGGTAAGAACCCCATTGAAACCCTTTACAATCCCTGGTTATGCTTCTCAAACCTGGGAACCTAAGTATCAATAAGAGTTTGAATTCCAAAAGAGGTGATCCATGAAGAAAGATGATTTTTTTTTTTTCGTCAAATGTGTTTTTAAACCAAAGATATGGTATTTTCAGTGGAATAACAGACAAAACAAATACAGAATGCAAAAAGGAAAAAAGAAAACCAGCCCCCATCCTTCCCAATATTTCACTTCAACATTGCAAAGTAAGCATCTTTCTCATTCTTTGATATAACTATCTGACGTTAACCAACTGCTGCCATGCTTCACTCTTTACTGGATCAAGGCCTATAAAATAAATTTCACAGGGCGTTCTATCATTTCTTTGTGAGCAATGAAAAATTACTTCTAGCTCTAAACACTACACCCATCAAAGTGCAAGGTGAATGTAGTCCTTGCTTCTGAAGAACAATTAACACTTAAAATTGGACATTTGGCTAAAAAAAGTTTTTTCCTGTCTAAACAGATATACTATTATCATAATACTAATAAATTTAGACCCAGAACTTTTGAAGTAAATACCCTTTTATAAACTGAAGGAGAAGAAAGTAAATAGCCAATCCCATGTACATTTCCATTTCCTTCTATTTATGATTGACTTTCAGTATTTGGTTTCAACCTTAGTAAGGATTATTCAAGTTGGCAGGAAATCCAAGGATTGAAGCAGATCTTACTATTCCCATGAGAGGTGCAAAAAACAAAAGTACTATTCCCTCGGGATCATGAAGGTAGCTACCACCCCTATAGAGGTCCAAACTATCCTAGCCTCAACCTCTGATCCAAAATGTGCCATTCTGACCCAGCTTGCAAATTACAGCTCATATACACAGCCCAATTACAGCTCTTCATTAGCTGCAAATACCAGAGGATTAAATAGCCTTAATTCAAGAAAGCAAAAAAGATCACAAATTTAAAAACCACACAACAACCAAAATCCCTAAACCTTTCCTGCTGTATAAGAGCCCAAAATAAGCCTTTCGGGCATTATCCAAGGTTTTAATAAATGTACTTAAAGAAACAGACTACAACTACATTCAGCATTCTCTTTTGCCACCCTCCTGAGTTTGGACTTGCCTTATGTAAATGAGTGGTGTTGAGGTTAATTCATTAAGAATATATATGTTCATGTATGAATATATAACATATTAAGAATAACTAAGAAGTTAAATATAAAAGTGACAAAGAAAGATTGAGGCAGTGAAAAGAAATCCACTATCTGGCTGTCCAGGGAGGCGCAGGTGCTATCTGATGTGACTGCGATCTGACACCTGCCTTCCGCCACAGGACAAAGTCCTCGCAACTCACAGAAGCTCGAAGGAGGCCAGCTCGACTTTTTTAGCACAGCAGGTAATAGTAAATGAGGTTATTTTCACTCATTAAAACTATCACCTACACGAGGTATACACAGCTACCAAGGTCAATGAAAACTAAGGAAAAAGCACTAATGGGTAATTTTACATCTAGCCTAATCTGCTTTGGGAATGACCAAGTGATGACATGATGCCCTCTTCACTTTGTGGCAGGGCTTAACACAGACAGACCTGCCAGTTTCACTGTTAACTTCAATGCTCCCAGTCTGAATCCACAGTGGTCTGTCAGACACTGTAAGGGAGCAGCAGGATTCGTCACTGTCTGATGTAATAGCTGCCATTTGTTGAGACCTATGGTAGAAAAAACCAAGTTAACAAAAATAGAGCAGTCATTCGAGTTCTTTTTAATCTATTTTACAAAAAAAAATAATTTAAAAATAAGACCAAAATTCAGTTGAATTTTCATAATTTATTCTAGATAACTTGCCTGCTTCACAGAATGTGAAGCTTTGATACTAAAGGAAAAGACTTGAGGTGTGTACACACCAGCCTTGGCCAGGAGAGGGCACTCTCTGGCCCAAGTCAATTCAGTAGCAAAATGCTTTCAGGTGCACCGAGACGCTGCCCTCCAGTGCTCACTCACATTTAATGTTCCTGACAAAAAATTTTTACTAGCCTAACACTAGCCTAGCGTTGTAGTGGTCCTGATCTTAGTATTCAACAGGGCTGAAGTCCTCATCCCTATCCATATTATGTTAGTGAGACCCCGTTTTGCAGAATGACCAAAATGTGCCTGAATCCTTTTCTCTTCTAAGGCCACTGACCACCTGTGCATACTATTCAGGACCTGAAATACTGCGTGAGTTAATACCTGCTTGAAATGAGTTTGACAAGATAAAGCTTTCTCACTCAGGCTTTCAGAACAGAGACTTCAAGTACTACTCATAATTCCAGTGAAGGATTGCTGTTTTAAGCTTACTTTTTTTAACATTTGCTTGTCTGCCTAATTCCTTATTTTAAGTACAAATAAACAATTCATTTATCACATCAGTGTAGTTAACTCTGGGGTCATTGATTTAATGTGCAGTCCTTATAATAATTATTTTTAAAACAGCATATCAAATCAGAAGCAGTAGCATATAATCAAAACTTTAAAAAAAGGCTTTTCTGACACTGAAAATAATTTTATACACCTGATCTATAAACAATTATTTTTGAATTTTAACTCAGTTTTCTTAAATGAGGCTTAATAATGAGGTTATTTACCTCACCTTTTGTTCATGGGAAAACATAAATATGCTATCTCCCAACAGTAATCACGCCAAGAAGAAACGGAATCTGAACGCACAAGAGAATTTATCTTTTGAACTTCTCCCTAAGTAAAACTTGTTAGGTTTCAACGGTCTGAAGAATCTCCTTTTAGAGTCTAGGCAAGAGAGTCAAGACGCTTGTGGAAGAATGATCCTTTCCCTGCGCATTTCCCCACCCAGCCCCGAAACACCATGCAAAACATTAACGTGCCACAGCGCCTGGCTCAAGAGTCTTGTGATAATGTTTAAGATGAGTTTCCCCTCAATGTTTTTAATGTCTCAAGGTTTCTCTTTAGAAACTGACTACATGTACGGGATCCATTAGGAAAAGCCAGGGAGCCCTGGTGGTGATGCAGTAAATGGAGGGACACTCTCGTGAAAGGCAGTGATTTCATTGGAAATTACTTATTTTGTCCATGAAGAGAAAGCTTACAAGCAACAATTACAACTGTTCCTGGGTGGCAGCAGAGATATAAAAGGCAAATCAGAGCAGGGTAAGTAAACACTCGATCTCCCTTTCGGAGTGTATGAAAGAAGTAGAGGTCATGCTCTTAGACCAAAGGCCAGAATTAAAAACTAAAGAATTAAGATTACATACGTGTACTTATTACCTTGCTGAACACAATATAAATTTTCTCTTAATACAATGTAACATGAATGCAACATGAACAAGCAGGAAAAAGCATCCAGTGCCTTGGACATTCTGATTTGCTAGCCTTAATACTGCTATTTTTCTAACCAGCTATTTTTCTAAGGTTTTAGGCAAACTGCACATAGCTCTTCCCAGCATACCAGGACTCAACCAAGACATGCCACTGCCAGCCAGATTCCCTGCTAAAAGCTAAACTATGGAGGGAAATCACAGGTTTGTAATCAGCATCTCAAAAATGAGCCACAAGTAAAAATGACTTACCCTGTGGAAAATAAGGCCACAACGCACACAGATGAAGGCTTTGGAATGTGAGGTATTTCCCTCCTAGAAAGGGGAAACAATCTCCTACTCAGTCATAGCAACAGCAATAAAAAAGTGTTCAAATTAAAGTCCACCTTTTCACCATTTGGCAAAATATTAAAACACCAGGGTCCCAGGGAAACACAGCATCTGTACAAATCGGCTAATTTATACTAACGAGCCAACAAATCTTGCTTTGTGGTTCTAATACTTGGAAAGCTCTCCTAAAAGGGCTTTTACTCCACGGAACCCCACCAGCTCAGACACTTCTCATGCCTCTGAAAGGATTTGGGATGTGCCGGAATTATGAAATGGTGATTGCTCATTAGTACATGAGTGCCTGAACCAGAATCACTCTTCTTCATTCACTCACAAGTAGGCTATCATTTCTGCTACATCAGGCCCTGTGCTTGGCACAAGGGAAAGTAGAAATCGGCGAGTAAGAGATTCCTGGAATTCATGCAATACCAATGAATGGGGCAAGAGTTGAAATGTTAATGTAATTCTCCCTTCACCATAATTCTGAGATGCCCTCCAGAAATGCCTGTTGGAAATAGTTCATACCTACTTCTAGATATTTACGATGATCATCCTATGATTATTGTAATTTTCAGTTAATAACGTCGCTATAACATTTTTTAAAATTTATACTATGTTGCAGAAATATTGAAAGCTACCAGAATGAAATTTCTATGGCATACACAGAAAGTGGTGGTTGTGGTAATGAGAGCATTTGTACAGGTCTTGTGCCAGGCTTTATTGCTTTGAATATTTAAATGAGGAATTACTTCATGAGGAAGTACTATTATTTTCCCCCATGTCACAGATGACACTGAGTAAACTACCCAAGATCACACAGCTTGTGACAGACCCAAGACAGCCTTTAAATCTAGGAAATCTGGCTCAAGAGCCTGTACTTTTCAACCAAGTAGAAGAAAATGATTCCTCAATAAAAGCCTGCCAAAATGTTAATGAATGCTCCAACTCACCTGCATCGCTGGCAGGTTCTATACTCATAACTATCTACTTCTATCTTTTACACTCAACAGGATGACTCTCACATCTCTACAAAACATTCTCCCTGGGCAAGCAACAAATTCTATCATATTTTATGGGGGTGGGGGGTGGATTTAAATTCCTTCTAGGCTTTTTCAATAGCTTTTAAGTGAATCTTTTTGTTGGAGAACTGAGGGACACTGAGGATTACAAAATCATCTTAATATTTAAAAAGCCCTTGCTAAAACTTGATAATGCACTAAAATTACAAGTTTTTTAGTTTATTTGGAAAGGAAAAAAAGTATAATAATAGCTTAACACTTTAGCTCTAGAATATCTGATTTTCTTTCCATATACTATCACTATGATAGAAAAAATAAGTTTTAATGAATTCTGGTTAAGATCCAGATATTTCTAAGGCAGTAAAAGGTCAACTATCACATTCTTATGATATAAGGAAAATTGAAAAAATACTTAGTTCATGTTTAAACCAAGTTTTAAGACCAGGTATTTTAAAACTGGGCTGTTGTCAGTATCAAAGTTTTAAGAAATTATTTTACAAACACAAGTGTCCAACAGAAGGCCCAATAAGTTTGACAACATATACTAGAAATGTCTAATTTATTGTTAGAAAATAAGAATTTGACTCACGAATTCGCTATTTTGATAAATCCTGATAATTTGAGTCTATAGTTTCTTCTTTTCCTTACGTCTCCCCGCAATCTTTAATTTGTTCCAGAATAACCTAGGAATCTATGAAAAATCCAAGTGTGGCAATTAGCTTTGTCAGATTAGATGCATTAAAATTTGATTCAGTTCATCCCAAGATGGATTTAAAGACATAATAAATATAAAAATTCAGTATTTCCTACCAAAGGTGGTACACAAAATGATCTTAGAAAGTATTTTAAAATTATCTATAGGTGTCAAGGCACACTTATTTCCCAGTAACTGTACTAACATAAGTGGAAAAATAGTACACAAATTTGAAAATATAGCAAAAGTGTGATAGTATATAAATAATTTAAGTTTTGGAAACTAATTCTATGACTAAAATAATTTTAATGATTTCTATATTCATAAAATTGTCCAAAACAATTGTTTTTGTCACTGAGGGGATAGTTTTAACCTAAAACCAACTCTCCAGAGTATTTAATGGCTAAATGCAGTCAAACTAATTCACTTAAAAACTTTACAAAGAGGCAGTTATAGTTCTTAAAAATGGGGGCACCATTAGCACTGTACAGAACTGCTGGTTGATTAGGAAAGAATCCTGGAAGCCAATGCTTGACCAAGAAAAACACTCATGTGACTTAATTTCGAAACACCTTCTAGAACAATAGCATCCAAAATTTAAAAGATTGCTATTGAAAACCAAATTACAGACAGAGGGTGATGGTTGCACAAGGTGAAATGTACTTAATGCCATAGAACTGTACACTTTAAAAAATGGTTTAAATGGTAAATTTGATGTTAGGTATATTTAATGACAATTTTTAAAATACCTCCCCCCCAAAAAAGAACCCACAAATTACAGCGCTATATTAATATAAGGAGAAAATTATTTTTACCTAAAAATCACAAGGAGAAAAAGAAATCCTCATCTATAAATGTTAAGTCTCTTGAGTAAAGATTTAAAAAAAAGTTGAACTTCTTCTCTTCTTATCTTAGTGTCAACGATTCATGGTAAAGGCCAAAACATTCTGGAAAACTAAAACTATATACACTATATCACTATGACTTTAAACTCCCTATTCCTTTATTCGAAATACCATAACAGCATATTAATTGCTAAAGCTTTCATGTTTTAATTCTATTCACTCTGTTGAAGGAATACAGTAAGTGTACACAAAACTATAAATACAGAATAAGAGCCTATTAACTAAGTCAGAACCAGGCAAGAGTAATTAATTCAGCTTAGCTATTTTGTTTTCTCTTGGCAATACGCATGGCATCAGCAATTAGAGATTGTTTGAATAGCAACAATATTAATACAATCCCAAAGCAAACCCTAACTCTGTCCCAACTTAGAAACAGGGTCTTCATTCTCCCGCATATTCCCTAGAAGCCATCACTGGGCCCAAATCAAAACAATATCCTCAATCAAAACATTACCAACTTTTCTAGACATTTGCCAGTCTCTTCTCTGCTATAAGTACTTAAAAGTGAACAGAGCCACACAAACCACAGAAAAATTCACAATTTAAAAGGGGAAAGCTAATTTTAGCTCCAAATTATAGATTCCTTATGGTATTTCCAAATACCAACTCAGTTATTCTGTATAAAGGATGTGTATGTCTATAAAGGAATATAAATGTGTACTTCCCTCCCTTCAACATACCCAATATTAAGTATGACCTGCTCAGAGGGATCCAACTCAGTATTTTGTAAATTAGAAATTCACAGATCCATTGTTGACTTTAGTAACAGTTCCATATTCTTTGCCTGCAGTCCCTTCATAGCCATATTCCTGTCTATTCTACTTGGTACTAATCTAAAATTACTATTTATAGATTTTTCTCATCAAAACCACATAGGGACAGACCATCAAGTCAGGCAAATGGACTTCAGGCTAATGAATTCTGCTTTACTTCACCTTTTAGGTCTCTGGTTCCACATCGACAAATGAGAGCTGAATAGATATTCCTTGCAAATAAACAGCTTTCTAGCGTATAAATTCTAGAAAACTAAACGGGAAAAAAATTCTAACGCTACTAATTTCTGAGAATTTCTAGAAATAAAGACATCTTTGACTTTTACAGTTCTTACTTCACTTTGTTTCTCCCCTTGCTAATCCTTTGTTTTAGCCACTTAAACCACTGGAGATTTGGCCCAAGCCTAGTTTTCTCTCTGCAAGGGGAAAAAAATACTGATTTGATTATCTCCATGTAACAAAAGCCTCATTTTACCACTTTAAAGAGAAATGTAAAGAAAAAAGGCTACAATTACCCCACTCTATCTCCATCTGCGAATTTACCTACTTAATTAAAAAATGAAACATTAATATGTAACTATTAGTGTTTAGAAGTTCTTTAAAATTGTTTCCCTATTGAAACTGCAGATGAAATATGCCAGACTGCCAGTTTAAAATGGAGAGATCCTTTGGCATAATCAGAGATCATGCATATTTGTGATTGTGCTTCGAACCTTTTCCTCAAAGGTATGGACTACATAAAATTTTTCTTTTTGTACTCGATTATGACTTATTACTTTTCTTTATGGTTTTTGAAACAAATCAAATTTGGTTTATGCCACAAGAGCACTTGCCAAAGCATTTGACTCTATTAGCAACGTCACTGCCAAAACCACTGTTAAAACTCACCTGGATCATAACACGGAGCCTTGGAATTATATACTTTAGGTGACTTTTTGCTCTGCCTTGTTTAAATCTTTCTGAACCTTAGATATCAAACTTTCAAAAATATCTGAACAAGTTCATTAATCTGAAACAAATATTCAGAAAACGTTTTAAGATACTTTCTTAAAACCCCTCTCCATCACGATGTGAACTTTCAACCTGTTATAATCAAAGAATTTTTAAAATAGTATAGTTGTTTCTGTTTGCAGGAAAGAATATGTTCTATTCAAGTGAAACATCTTGTTTTTTTTTTAATTGTGTGTTTATTTTAGTCAAAAAGCAATGACTGAGTTCCCCAGAAGATATTCTATTTTCTTTTGCAGACATCAGTACATAAATCGTAGAAGTCCATAACCTTAAGGAAGTTGACAGACTATTTTCAATCTCCATTAATTTTTCATCATTAATTCCACAGTAACTAGATATTTCGAATTGGATTACTAAGAAATCCACAAAAAGTTGTTCTTTAGGATTCAGGTTTCTAAAGGTGTCAAATCAACATATCAAATTTAAAAGTTATGTTAGACACAGAATGTATGAAAGCAACTTAAATCTTGGGATCAACTTGCCTCCATAGGCAATCTGATATATTTTTTTTTACTAACAATAGAAAGCTAAAAATAGAAAATAAATTGAATCTTAGGGACGTATGGACCATGTAGAAAATGATGAGCTAAGTTTCTAGCCCCAAAAGCAATGATACCTGAGGCAGAAGACCAAGGTGAAGAGACTGGTAGTATTAATTACCCAGATATAAAAAATGAAACGTGATGAAGTATTAAGGCTAAATATAAAAAAATTAAAACCCATTTATAAGAAACTGACTAGAGGAGTCTCAAAACTAGAAGCATTATCAGACCTCTAAACTACAAAACCTCATTTTAAGAATATACTGATCATTTATTTGAATTTTATCTATACCCAAATATGATAGGGCAAATAAGTGATTTTCCACTTCCTCTACACAGTTACAAAGAATTATTTTCTACCATCTTGAAATTTTTCAAAGCTTTTTGAGAAACACACACAAATAATTTGGATTTAGTCGATTTTATTTACAGCTTTTTTTACATTTCAGAGCAATTACACAATTACATTTTCTCATTTTCTGACCTGCAAACAGATACCTTAAACGGAAATATTTTTTTAAAATTATCAAATTAGGTACATCCAAAATGCAACAATTACACATATGACAATTCACAAAGTGTAATTTACCAGGACGTATCCTAAGAATTTAGGAACAGCCAGTCAGGAGAAATCTGACCAAATTTAGCAATCAACTATTTACATATCCGAAGACAAATCTATCTAAACTCCCAAACCAGAAGGTTGAAAGTTTTGTTAAATCCTCATTGGACGAAGGAGAGAGATGATTCAAACCTAGCCAACCTTAATCCCAAATACTGGGCTATTTCTCCAGTCTGCAACTGAATAGCAAGCATCTCAGTTTGTCAAACACCTAAGTATCAAGCTCTTGCACCATTATGCACATAGAAGGGCTAAGTGTTAATTAAAAACAAGTAGTCATTAAATATCCACACTATTCCCACCCCCCTCCCAGCTCACCAGCCCTTACTGCAATCCCAAATATGCAACCTGTGTCACATAGTGACAGGCTATATTATATATAGTATGTATGCATATACACACATTGTGTACACGTGTATAGATACACACATACACACAGTACTAGGTACAAATGGCAATTAACAGTCCCTGCAAAAATTCATTTTCAGTTGAGGCTATGGCTCCTATGCCTTGGGATGGTTTTAGACTTCAAAACTGAAAAATACTGCTAAAATCTCGCTTAAGACAAAACTTGATTGCTTGTTCAAATTAGCTTCTCGGTCTAAAAAATGGCTGTAAGTACAGAAAAGCACCCGACTGAGCCGAGTGCAATTTCTCTCTCCAATTTGGCCAAGCTACCTCATAGAAGTTACTCCTAATTAGCCTAGAAAACCTGCGGCCCTTCCAGTCGTTCTTGCCTACCTTACTGTCCATGTTCACGTTTCAAACTGTGTCAGCAGAGACCGTACTTCGGGGGTCAGCTGCTTGGCAGCCTTAGCCGCCTCTGTGATAGCCTTGCGGTACAGGCCCTTTCTCTTCTTATTAAAGCGTGACTGGAAGTTTTCTAAAAAGGGGGACAGTTGCGAAAGAGCAAGGAAAGATGTCGTTGGAGACCCGAACCATGAAATACGGGCCTCCTGTCGAACTAAAAGGCCGTTATCTTTCCGGCTCACAGTTATAGTAAGAATACGGGCTGGCCACCAAGGGAAGCCATATATCTTGGCCCAAACAATGTCCCCTACACATATGGTCCTGCCATCTGGTGTGACGCATTTAGAGACGTTTTTGGAAAAGACTTTCATTTTCAAGGAATTAGTGAGCTTTTTCTCTTCCTTTGAAGAGGAGGATGTGGAGGTGGAAGGTGCATGCATACTGCCTGGAGGAAAATCAAAGCTTTCAGAAGAACTACACTCAGAGTTGGAGGATTTCAAATCATCTGTGCTATCAATGCTACACACTGAAGCACTAGAAGAGTCAGATTTCTTTTGATTTAGGGTCATGTAAACAGAGATATTGCTTTTGCTGCCCTTTTTGCCCAGTGTCTGTGGTTCATCCTGCTCACCAGGCACAAGCACTTCATTTGTGTCCTGAACCTCACTGCTGGCCTCTTCAGGGCCTTTTGAGGGACTCTGATTTTCTGAAGGGGCCTCACCTGCTGAGCGGGTAGAGGTGCAACGAGACTGGGGCTTAGGTGCCATCTTGCCACTCCGCATTTTCTCAAGTCCTGTCTTCAGGGAAGAGTCATTTTCTTCATTCCTGTACCTTTGTGGTTTTAAACGAACCCGGGGTGGAAGGGAACCTGAGCTAGGACTCTGATATCGACGTGTAAAATGGACTTTTGAATGTGCATTTTTGGATGTGGAGGTTTCACTCTGCTTCCTTTGTGCCTTTTCTTTGGCAATTTTCAACACTTCCCGAGCTTTTGCATGATCCATGTTCTTACTCTGGAGCACTTTTTTAGTACTTAACTGAGCTTTTGATGTATTTGCCTGAGCAGAAACTTTGACTACTCTGCCTCTGCTGTGAGCAATATTTGAAACCTTAACCACAGCATTTCTTTTCTGGGTTTCATTTTGGTTTTTCCCATCCACTTTATGGTCAGTTTTCAGTTTTTTGTTCACAGTAGTTACACTTTCATTTCTCCGTTTTTTATCTTCATATTTAGAAGAGTCACTTGCACTACTACCTTTTCTGAGTTCCTTTTTTTCAGCAACAACACTGTTTTTACATTTGTCACACAGGACTTGCCTGGGTCGTAGTTTAATAGCATTCATTATCGAAGTTGGTTCTTCCCTGTACATTTTTCGTTTGGGTCGCTTAATTTTCCGAGGGGGTGGCTGAGGTATTGACTGGTTATACGTGTCCCTGATAAACAACGGGGGAGGATAAGGTGCCCCTTCATGGAAGAGGGGTGGAGGTTTGGAAGTCCACAGGCTCTCGGCCAAGCCTGGCTCGGGAGGCAGGACGGGGGAAGGGTCATCAGGAACAGCACCATTCACTTCACGCTTGACTTCTGTCCCTTCTTGGAATGTATTACTTTGGAGCTGCATGGCTTCAGGTTTATCCTTATATTCCCTTTTGGGAAATACTGTCACAGGGATCCCATGGGGCCCAAACCTTGAAAGAAATGGAAGAAAAAGGAAAGCCATTAAGTCAGTGTCTAATTCAATTTCTTAAACAATACCTAATGTTTGCGTGACCATTCCTGAAAACTATTTCATAATAAAGAACAAAAACAAAAACCTACTGACCATCTCCCCACAGAAATCCCAAAGCCCTCCATGTTTTATTAGTCCCACATTTTAGGTTAAAACAGAAATACTCAAATGGTTGCTCTAAGCAATGCCAAAATAGCAGAACTTATTTAAAATAGGCCTTTCTGGTCTTGAATCAGAAAGAATAGCAGATGCCTTAATATTAAACATCATTTGATATTATGTTTGCTGAACTATACACAACACATCTAGTAAATGCAATTATAAATTTGTAACATATATATCTTCCTCTGGTTATAATAGCTTTCTAAAGCTTCACAAAACAAATTCAGCCTTAACTACCCCAAAATATTGAATCAGTAAAATCCTATCTCTACTTTATTAATTGCTAAAGTTTCAAAGATTGCTCCTTTACTCTTGCATCCTAACTCAAGCCCTTCATCCACATCAACCTCCACAAAAAAACCCCACAAATTCTAGAAATTCATACACTCAAATTACCTCAGAAGCAAACACATAGAGAGCTGTGGTTTTCTAAGTTTTTTTAAAATCATATCACACATTAATATTTTCACGTTGCAAGCCAATAAAAATGCTAATGAATATATACATGCATGCATCTATACATGCATGAATACGCACACTTAAGCAAAAGTTGCACTAAATACTTAACCTTGTTAACATAATGATAATTTTTTCTACTCTGGTCTATTCTGTTTTAATGCTAGTCAGGTATGTTAAATGTATTTCAAAACTCCTTACGGGTCCAGATGAGTTTGCAAAGCACTGGTACAGAACACAAATCTTTACAATTCTTTTTCTAATAAGACAGGGGCCATGAACCTTGTTTCTCATGTAGAAGTAACTGGCTTAATCTGCCTGTGATAAACATCAAGAACCCGTAAACTAAACTCACTACACTCAGATTCCTGCACTTAAAAATAAATTCACACTACCAAATGATTTCATCATATACATGTTAACATGTTCATTTTAAACACTATTTGAGTCTAACAGTATCAAACACAATACAATTATTATGCCAATCCTTTTAGGGCAGAGGTGCTTAGAACCCAAGGATCAGCTTCAGGTAGTCAGGTAGAACCCCTGACATTAGATGCAAATGTTTTCCTGGAGAATGAGTCTTTGGTTCTTAGATTCTCTAAAATGTCCTTATGCTCACGAATGGTTCAGAATACCTTTGTTGGGAAGAAATCTTGAGATTAATTTACAGCTATAGACACACCTACAATCGGGCAAGGATATAGGAAGAGCCAACACCACCAGGACATCTGGATCTAACACCTAAACAGTTTTCTTTGTAAAGTCTTTTGTTAGTTTGGCTACCACAAACCAACAATTTATAACAAATATTTAAAATCCACAAAGTAAGAGGAAAGCCTTTTTAAAAAAAAAAAAAAAAAGATGGGATAAGTTTGGGTCTGGGCTATTCCACAAAAGAAGGACACCCTCCTCACTATGAGACTTTGCAAAAAGTGGCTTTTTATTCTAGCACAGCATCTGGTACCTAAGTATTTCCTTCCTACTTATTTGCAAGGCACTTTGAACATTTAGCTTTTTCTTATATCTAGGTACTCAATAACCATTTTTTCAAGATGACAAGAAAATGGAGATGTGATTTTCGTGTTTTAATACAGAAATACATAAAAAATACAATTTATCTGTGGTAAGACCACTATTTGTATTAACAATAAAATGTTCTAACTCATAAGAAGCCATCATTTTGTCTCCATTACACTGTCATATAATGTTTCCATATCTGAACAAACAATAAATTTCTTTCCTTTTCAAGGAATAACTTAAATCATCTTAACATTTGAGATAAAGTTTCAACCTTGTATCCTCAGGTGTTACTAAACCTCTAAATTCAGTTTTCACATGTGTAAAATGGGTTCACACCATTTCCTACCTTAAAGGATTCAGGTCAATTAATGTTAGCCATTTTCTTGGCTAAAATTTACTTAAAAATTTACTTAAGTAATTTGATCTTATTTTCAACTAATAATTAACAGAGTTTGGAATCTTTTCTATATCTTTAACTTATTATCTCAGTGTAAGGATTCCCCCCAGCCAATTATTAAAGTTGTTTATATCAAATAAGCTGTGGAATCTGATATGTTTACCCTCACGCAGTTTAATAAGAACATTAATTTCACATATGGTTTGGTTTTTCCCTTGCTTTTCCCTCTTAAGCAGATAAAATGCAAGCATTAATGTTTTTAACAACACAGGGAGGTATTTAATTGTGTAATGATGAATGGAAATTGCAGGAATCAAAAGAAAAAGGAAAAAAAATACAAACTAATAATTCTAGGTGACGGATGCTTGACAAAAGCAAAAATTCATTTTAAATAATAAAACTTCCTCAAAGGACCAGAAAGATAAGTCACTTTATAGGAAAGGGGATTGGTGTCCTACTCCATCTCAGTAATCATGTTGTCACCGTTACATGGACACGTATTACCATAGGTGTTTCAAACTAAGGGTGGCGATGTTGGTTGTGAAATCAATTTCAAGGATTGCAACAATGACTTTTAAAATTCAGTGTAAATACATGTAGCTACAACAAATGTTTCATATACATATACATATGTATATGGATTCACCTGTAAAATGTACTTGTAACAATGCTCAAAAGTTTGAAAGCTACTAACCTATGAAACTGTAACTTTAATAAGAATATAAAGTAGCCGCAAAACCATGGTGACTTAAAAATACTCAAACCTAATTTCCAAGTGTAGTCTGTGGAAACCTGTAGCACAATCCTCTGTGGAGTTTGCAAATGGAGGTTCCTAAGTCCTGCCCCAAGACTGACTCTCCTAAGGGGGAACCCAGGATTTGAATTTTTAGCAGAGCTTTTGCTTTAGATTTTTCTAAGGTAAAGATATTTATGTCCCATGTGACTCTTCACCAAAGGGTGACTGATCTCAGCAGGGATGTGGAAGGCTTTTTCTAAAAGAACTTTTTACAAATAGTCCAGGAGCTGAGCAGTAAGACGCTAAGTATCTCTCCTCTTGCTCCTCCCCCCTTCTTTCTACAGCATGAAGATATTAATGTATTAGTGACTCATTCTAACCTTTATTCATTTTCAGTCTTATTTAACCACTAAAAATTCTAAAGGAAAAATATTCAGGTATTATGGTTTAAATAAAAACAGCTTCTGGAGAAAGCCAGACGAACTATACAAGAGACCTTTCTGTACAATCTTTACAACTTCCTATGAACCTGTAAAAAGTTTAAATATAGCTATCTTCTTAAAATTTAGGAGTAATGAGTGCCAAATTTTTGAGGGTGAATACTCGGGCTTAATAGTTATTTTGTGTCAAGGCCAAGAGAAAACCCCTATAAAGAAAAATCCTCAGCTAATATAAAGATGAAATAAATGTAGAGTATTTCAGCCAAAATTCAAAATATAACTATTATAGGAAGTAGAGTATTTTCTATTACTTGGGTTCCACTTTAGATATTTTAATTGATGATTCTAGCTGGAATGAAGGCTTTGACTAAATGAAGCCTTTATTTGCCCACTGATAAAATTTACAAAATTGTATTTGCTCAAGATTTCTAGCATTGCCAATCAATCCTATACCTAAATATGCATTACTTCTTGATGCAAATTCATAACCATCATCCAAATTCATAACCATCATCCAAATTCCCTTTCCAAAGGAATACCTCAAATACTAAACATATAACCAAATAGAATAACCAAAACTAAAAATGGTTACCAACAACTACTCAACTGTTTAAAAGGTCAGACATTTAATTCTTACCCCTTATTCTGAAAGTGTTTAAATGCTGTTCAGCAACCTCAATCAACTCACCTCCAACCTAGGATATTTTCCTTTTAACAACAGTTTAACTGTACACAACTGATTCTCATTTTCTTCCCTCCAATTCTGATTGTTGCCAATCTCCAACTGAGGAGATTTTTAAAAAAAAATATTACACACTAAAAATAAACAAAAAAACTAAGGCATTACAAACCTTAGGCATGCAAAATAGAGGGCCTGAGGAATTCAACACTCAGAAAAATAAGTTCAGAAGGGTTGAGACAGGCCCAAGTGTTCTGGCTAGACCAAACCTCTCTCCAGTAAACAGAGCAACAGAAGACGAAAGAACACTTTCCCTCCCACAATTCTTTTCCCATAAAGAATCTACAGTAGGAAAATTTATATTCAATTAACCACTTTAAAAATAATATTTAGATTTGTTTCATTTCAAGGTGAGGTTTTCAGAAACTACCTCTCCTTAAATTAGCAAGAAGTTAAACCATAAAGGAGGGGAAACTGAAGCAAGCTTGCTTTGGTTCACACTGCATCTCTGTGAGACTGGGTAAAGTTGAACCTCAGCACAAATGAAATCAATCGAATAGTCAGCTACATATAATAGACAATTTTACAAAATAAAAATATACATCCATGCCTCAAAAAATCAAAAATATGAGAGCCAGCATACCCACCTCTGGGTATATATCCAAAATAACTGAAAACAGGGTCTCATAGAGATATTTACACACCCATGTTCATAGTATTATTCACCATAGCCAAAAAGGTGGAAACAACTCAAGTGCCCATCAAAGATGAATGGATAAACTAAATGTGGTATATACATACAACACAATATTATTCAGCCTTAAAAAGGAAATTGTCATATGCTCCAGAATGGTGAACCTTGAGAACATTATGCTAAGTGAAATGAGTCCATCACAAAAAGGACACTAAAGTAGAATCATGGTTGCTGGGGGCTGGAGGGAGGAGGAAATGGGGAAGTGTTTAATGGGTACTGGAGTTTTAATTTTGCAAGATGAAAAAGTTCGAAGATCTGTTTCACAACGTGAATGTACTATATACTTAAACATCACCAACGAGGGCAAATGAC